CCGGCCTCGGGGGCCCGGGGCTGGGCAGCCCGGTCTCCCGGACGGCGCCGAGCGGGGCGAGTGGCGAGGGCTCCGATCGCAAGGCACCCCGGCTGGGTCGCAGGATCGTCCGCCATCGCCACCGCCGCTGCACCGGGAGCTGGCTGGGATGGAGCGGGAGGAGTCGCCGTGGGGCCTCGAGCCTCGGGATGTGCAAAGTCCTGACGAAATGGGGAGCCCCGAAGGGTCCCTCAAAGGTGAGGGACTGCCCCTCCGGGAAGTGTACCTGGGCGCGGGATAAGGGACTGTAGTCCGTGGGAGAGCAGGGGCGGGGTGGGGGTGGGGGCTTGGCCATTTGGGACTGGGAGGAGGGCTGGGTGTTCTGGATCTGGGGAGAAGTGGGGATTTCAGCACCTGCTCAAGGGCCCATGGCTCTGTGTGTGTGTGTGTGTGTGGGATCCAGAAGAGGTTTGTGGCAACTAATGGATCAAATGATCTTCAGGATACCCATAAATTCTGGGTTTTGTGTAATTCTTTGATCCTGCAGGCAACACGAGTGAGAATGAGGAAGAGGAAATTTCTCAGCAAGAAGGCAATGGGGACTATGAAGTTGAAGAAATACCTTTTGGCCTTGAACCCCAAAGCCCTGGGTTTGAGCCACCAAGCCCAGAAATTGAATCCCAAAGCCCCAGGTTTGAGCCTGAAAGCCCAGGGTTTGAGTCCCGAAGCCCTGGGTTTGTGCCCCCAAGCCCTGAGTTTGCACCCAGAAGCCCTGAATCAGATCCTCAGAGTCCAGAGTTTGAATCCCAGAGCCCTAGGTATGAACCCCAAAGCCCTGGCTATGATCCCAAGAGCCCAGGCTATGAACCCAGGAGCCCAGGTTATGAGTCCCAAAGCCCTGAATTTGGTTCTCAAAGCCCCAGGTATAAATCTCAGGGTCTGGGACATGAATCCCAAAACTCTGGAGATGAACCTCAGACTCCTGAGTTAAAAATTCAAAACCCTGAACTTGAAGCTCAGAGTTCTAAATTCCAGGAAGGTACTGAGATACTTCTGAATCCTGAGGAAAAGAATCCCTTAAGCATCCCCTTAGGAGTTCACCCCCTGGACTCCTTTACTCAGGAGTTTGGGGAGCAGCCCACAGGAGCTCTATCCCTAGGGCCACCCTTTGAGATGCCTACAGGGGCCCTATTGTCGACGCCCCAGTTTGAGATGCTTCAGAACCCCCTGGGTCTGACAGGGACCCTCCGGGGTCCAGGGCGGCGGGGTGGCCGGTCCAGGGGTGGGCAGGGCCCTCGGCCTAACATCTGCGGTATCTGCGGGAAGAGCTTCGGCCGGGGCTCCACCCTGATCCAACACCAGCGCATCCACACGGGGGAGAAGCCTTACAAGTGCGAGGTGTGCAGCAAGGCCTTCTCCCAGAGCTCCGACCTCATCAAACACCAGCGCACACACACCGGCGAGCGGCCCTACAAGTGTCCCCGCTGCGGCAAGGCCTTCGCCGACAGCTCTTACCTGCTGCGACACCAGCGCACCCACTCTGGCCAGAAGCCCTACAAGTGCCCGCACTGTGGCAAGGCCTTTGGCGACAGCTCCTACCTCCTGCGACACCAGCGCACCCACAGCCACGAGCGGCCCTACAGCTGCCCCGAGTGCGGCAAGTGCTACAGCCAGAACTCGTCCCTGCGAAGCCACCAGCGGGTGCACACCGGGCAGCGGCCCTTCAGCTGTGGCATCTGCGGCAAGAGCTTCTCCCAGCGGTCGGCGCTCATCCCCCACGCCCGCAGCCACGCCCGCGAGAAGCCTTTCAAGTGCCCCGAGTGCGGCAAGCGCTTCGGCCAGAGCTCGGTGCTGGCCATCCACGCCCGCACCCACCTGCCAGGCCGCACCTACAGCTGCCCCGACTGCGGCAAGACCTTCAACCGCTCGTCCACGCTCATCCAGCACCAGCGATCGCACACGGGCGAGCGGCCCTACCGCTGCGCCGTGTGCGGCAAGGGCTTCTGCCGCTCGTCCACGCTGCTGCAGCACCACCGCGTCCACAGCGGCGAGCGGCCCTACAAGTGCGACGACTGCGGCAAGGCCTTCTCGCAGAGCTCCGACCTCATCCGCCACCAGCGGACCCACGCGGCCGGCCGCCGCTGAGCGTGGCCCCCGGCGAGCCAGGACCAGCCGGAGGAACCTTCTAGCTCCAGAGGGGGCCAGCGTGCACGAAGTTCCAGGCGCCAGAGACGAATGGGGAAATGGGCTATGAAGAGAGAGGGTCGAGGGCGCCCACGGGGGGCAGCAGGAAGTCCGGGGAGAGACCCAGAAAGGGCGAGCGGAGAGCAGGCTGGGCAGCAGGCCACTCCCCGGCGGGCGCCTGGCTCGGCAAAGGCCAGGCGGGGAGGGGGGAGGGGAGGGGAGGCTTGCTTAGAGTTGGGTAGCTTAGATTGGTAGCTGCGGAGACCCTGGTTGCGGCAGGAAGGGGTAGAAGGGTAGGTAGGGCGGGGAGCAGGGCCTGGGCCTCAGTGCCAAACCCCAGCCTGCCTTGTCTTCTTGGGCCTGGGAGCCCCTGCGTTTGAGTTCAATAAAAAAACTTTTATGTGGTGAAAGAGACTTGTCCTTCAAATGTGTGTGTACACAGTGCCCTGGGCAGTGGGAGAGGCTAGTCAGGGCTGAACAGCCAGGGGGGCCCCGGGGCCTACTCCGGGGAGTGCTTTTATGTTGGGGGTTTCATGCGAATGCCGTCTGATGTTCAGGAGATGCCATTGCCCATTTACAAGCTGCAGAGGCACCAGGTCGGGGGAATGCTCAGCGTGACTCGCGCTGTTCTCATCACAGAGGGTCTGTCTTTGGCCAGAAATCACTCCCGATTCCCAGGCTCAAGTCTAGTCTGCTTTCCAGCTGCCCCACGTGTGCAGCCCTCTTTTCTTTAGGCTCTGACAACAGAGGGGGTGTCTGCAGCTCCACCCCACCCAAAGCAGGTATCTGACCTGCCATGCACACTGCTTCAGACCCCATGACCTTCCTGCAGGCTGGCCCTGATTTGTCACAGTGCTGTCCTTTGGGACCACCATAGTTTGTAAAATTACACAAAACCCAGACTTTTTCTTGTGGGGAATGCATGGGGAATTAGTGCCTTCAATGAGTCTAGAGGCTTCTGGGGGATTCTGGAGTGTGGCCTCTTGACCTTTGCTGAGGACAGGCACTTGGGTGTCACTTGCTGTTGGGCACAGCTTGAGGCATCTCCTAAGGGCTGATGGTACCCCTGCAGTTCATTTCACAGAGAAGGAAAATGAAGGGCACAGAGCCAAGTGACTCTCAAAGTCACTGTGTGACTAAGAGGCAGATGTGACATTGAGATCACATCTACCTGGCTCCACCTCTCCCCAGAGCTTGGCAAATAGGCCCCGTGTAAGTCTCCTGGGTCTCTGTATCCTGATGGCACTCCCAGCTCACACCCAGCCTCGGGGCCTTGTAACTGGGAATGAGCAAATAAATAACCTCGGAGAGAAGGCAACCCAGCTAGCCGGGATCTGCCAGAGAGACCTAATGAACTCATTCAATTCATTTGCTTGGTTTTCAGACTTTAAGATATTTTTGAAAACAAAACAACTATTGTTTAAGTCTTTTAGAGACCTTTATGACTATCATGAGGTTTTTGTTTTTAATTTTTGAGTCAGGCAGAGTTGATGGGGTATCTGGTCTGGCTCTGAACTTGGCTCAAGCGATCCTCCTGTCTGAGCTTCCTGAGGATTAAACAATAGGTGTGTGCTGCTGTCCCTGACTGATGCAGATTTTTGTTTTTGGTATGGACATTCTATTATAAATAAAATAACCATGATTTTCACATTTAAGATAGGTTTTTTTTTTTTTGGTCGTGGGGGCTGAACTCTGGGCCTGGGTGCTTGACTGCCTGATATGGTGCACTTTTTGAGCGAGGCATAGTGGTGCACACCTGTAATCCTAGCATTCAAAGGCTCAAGCAGAAGGATTAGGAAGCTGAGACCATCCTGGGTTACTTAGGGGGGCTGTCTCAACACACACCCCTCTGGGAAAGTGGCTTCACTTCTTCCCTCCTGATGTCTTGCCTATGAGCCAGCCCCATAGTGTCTTTTTTTTTTTTTGGGTCCGGTCGTGGGGCCTGAACTCTGGGCTTGGGCGCTGTCCCTCAGCTCTTCAGCTCAAGGCTAGCGCTCTACCACTTGAGCCACAGCACCACTTCCGGCTTTTTTCTTATGAGGTGCTGAGGAATCGAACCCAGGGCCTCAGGCATGCAAGGCAAGCACTCTACCACTGAGCCAACTTCCCAGCCCCTCCCCATAGTGTCTTGAGTCTGGACTAGAATGGCTGGTGGGGCTAGAGAGGCTGTCAGGCTTTGGATGTCATGGGTCTTGCGTGGCTGGCTCAGCAGGGTCCTCTCTCTGGGCAAGAAAGGCCATCAAAGGACCATGCCTAGGGGAACAAAATGTTGCCTCTCACTTCCTGCCTTATATATGACTGCAGCAATTTCCCCAGTGCAGGGCAAGGAGCTTCGCTTAGTCACTCAGTATTCTCTGGGGGTCCCACACAGACAGCAGGGGCTGGTCCCCACTATTCCTTCTAAAGGAGGAGGGACTAGGGAGCCACACCCTTCCATTCATTTTTTTCCCCCTCCTCTTGGTCACACTGGGGTCTGAACTCAGGGTCTTTGCACTTGCTAGGCATAAGTTCTACTTGAGCCTCCCCCCCCCCCAGCCCATTCTTGCTTTATATAAAAGATGACACGTTGAACTGAAACCCCTCTGTACTACTTAATGATGAAGAGGGCCAGGCACCGGCAGCTCACACCTGTAATCCAGCTACTTTGGCTGCTAAGATCTGAGGATCAGAGCTCAAAGCCACCCCAGGGAGGAAAGTCCATGCACTCCCAATTAATCACCAAAAACTGGAAGTGGACTGTGGCTCAAGTGATAAGAGTGTCAGGATTGAGTGAAAGAGTTCAGGACAGTACCCAGGCCCCAGCACAGAAAGAAAGGAGGAAAGAAAGAAAGAAAGAGAGGAAAGAAAAAAGGAAAGAGAAAAGAAAAAAGAAGAGGAGGGTTGATGTCTCTTTTTTCTCTTCCTGTCTGTTAAGGATCAAACCCAGGGTCTGTGCCTGATAGGTAAGAACATGATCACTGCGTCATATCTCAGTCCCTTATAGTGCACATCCTTTATTGTTGTTGTTTTGGGGCCAGGGTCTCACTATGTAACTCAGGCTGGAACTCACAATCCTCCTGCCTCAGCCGCTCAAGTATTGGGATTACAGTTACGTCCTCCTATGCATGGCACATTATACTCCCATCTTAAATTGCTAAATGGCTCTTAACTTTTCTCCTCTTTGATATCTCTTTCTGTTTTGAATTCATCTCCAATGTCAGGCATAGGTTAATAGCTGAGGGTCAACCATGGGGTTGGGGCAGGAAAACAGAAGGAAGAGTAGAGGTCATTATCTTGGTCCCACTTAGGGGCATTGGGAGAGAAATTTTATTTTGTTGAGCCTGGCTGGAGCTGCACAAGCACAAACATCAGAAAACCAGACAGTATCTCCTGCTTTACCCGATACGAATGTAGGCACTATGCTTGATGCTGGGCTTGGGGTGTCTGTGTCTCTACCTTGAGCTGGGTCTCCCAGGGGGCTCTGAACGCTGTGAAGGAGCCAGGGAAAGGCTGGGAAGGCTGAGCTTTGATGGGCAGGGAGGCAGGGGGCTCCACCCTCAATCCAATGAAATTATGTCACGTATATATATATCAACCCCAGGGGAGGGAGACAGGTATATAGTACCTACCCTCCCGGAGTGCACTGCGTGAGAACAGAAGTTAAACCAGTCACTAAACACTGATCAAATACAACTTGGGAGTGGGCAGTGAGGGGCTGGTGCCAGTGTGGACAAGGAGGGAACCGAACTAGGCTGGTGGTGGGGGGTGGCCCTGAGGAAGTGTCTTGTGGGCTGAGATCTGAGGGCTGAGCAGAAGTGAGCCCAGGCACTGGAATAGGATGGTTCCAGGCAGAGGGAACATCTGGGCAGATGCAGACAGGCAGGAAAGAGCATGGCTCTGCAGAAAGGCTGGAGTACCTGGAGTCTCAAAGGTGAAGTGGAACCTCCCCAGGAGAGATGGGGCCCAATTTTTCCCAGCCTTAAAGGCTTATTAGATAATTGAATCTTTGGTTATAGGTCAAGAGGTTCTGCAGCAATACAGTGACAGGGCTGAATTTGCTCTCCAGCTGCAGATGAGGGAGTGGGGGCTTCCAGGCCAGGCGTGGAGGCAGTTCTGGGAGGCAGAGACCTTTCTACTTGCAAGGGCTGCAGCCTCTTTGGTCGTGACATTAGTTTCTCCAAATTTAGATCACAAGTTCCCTTGCGAGGGAGCAAACCAAGCCAGGCTGGCAGAAGCCAGGGCCACCTGGTAACTCTAAGTTCTCACTACTGTGGCCTTCTTGGCCTTCTCTCCCCTTTTCCCCCCGTAGAATCTCACCACGTACCTGCAGAGGATGCAGGCAGGGATGAGCTCCATGCTCAAGACAGGGAAACTGAGGCGAAGGGAGAAGGGTGACTTGCCAAGGACACATAGTGAGGTGCAAGGTTGAGGCTGAGCAGCCCCCCGGTTTAGCCAGTCCAGCCCTGGGTTCTATGTGTATCACGTCTCCCCCTCAGTCCTTGTGATCTCCATCCTGAGCCTCACCCTCATGGAGGGGCATTAGACTGTCAGGATCCATGGCTTTCTCAGATTCCACCAGAGGCCCAGAGCCTTCCGCAGGGATTCCATTTGGGACGCCTCCGTCAGCCTCCATCATCTCCTTCAAGTTCCGCTTGAAGAATCCAACCTGCAGGAGGGCAAACATGGAGGGAGTGAAAGTCCAATCTCCGCTGCAGAGAGTGAAGACACTTGGTGTAAATAAATAATCATGTGTTCCGGCCCACAACAGGGAATCCTGTCTGTCTTGTACATCGCTGTCTCTGATGTGTGGAGTCTGACACAAAGCCTCTGTCCAAGCTAGATGTGGTGGCTCAGATCTATAATCTCAGCACACAAGAGGCAGAGGCAGGAGGATTGTGAGTTTGAGGCCAGTTTGTGCAACTGAGTGACAACCTGTTTTAGAGAACTAAACAAAACAAAGCTGAACAAAACAAAAAATAGCTCTCCCTTTTTTCCTTACTGTTAGGTAGCTCTGTGTGTGTGTGTGTGTGTGTGTGTGTGTGTGTGTGTGTGCGTGCACAAGTGTGTGAGTGTATGCTGGGGCTTGAACTGAGGCCTGGGTGCTGTCCTTAACTTTTTCACTCAAGGCTTGACACTCAACCACTTGGGCCCCACAGCTCCACCTCCAGCTTTTTGGTTAATTGGAAATAAGACTCTCAGGAACTTTCCTGCCTGGGCTGGCTGGGAACCACGATCCTCAGAGCTCATCCTCCTGAGTAGCTAGGGTTATAGGCATGAGCCACCAGCTCCTGGATAAGTTTGAGGTTGTTACATGGAATGTCTGCTCTGCAATCCTCTTCATCTCCAACTTCTACTCCTTCAGATGCCAGCTCCTCCCCCAGGAGGACTTCCCATGACCTTTTCTGCTTG